GAATTTTCTTTCAGAAAAGATCTTCATATCTGATGAAAAACCAAACTATTCCAAGTATTCATATTTATCAATTATTATTAAAGTTACTTTACTTTTCATTAACAGAGAGTTGTCAAGATGAATAAAACAGAGGATGATGAGTTAGGAGCTGAGGAGTTGACAGAGGACGAAATAAAGCAGGTGGCTGAGGACGACTTCTACGATAAACTGGCCAGCAGCATCGCTCCCGAGATCTACGGACACGAGGATGTCAAGAAGGCCCTCCTGTTACTCCTGGTAGGGGGCGTGGACAAGTCTCCCAGAGGCATGAAAATCAGAGGTAAAACTTACTTCTTTGTAGGATTATTTTTGTTGGACTAGTTTTGCTTAATATTATATTTAAATGTAAATGCTGCTGATGTTTTATAAATAATTGATATCTGTGATATGTGTGTACCTTTAGGTAACATCAATATCTGTTTGATGGGAGACCCTGGTGTGGCCAAATCTCAGCTTTTATCCTACATTGACAGATTGGCTCCTAGAAGTAAGTTTATTAAAGCAGAGTCCAATGAATGATTATGGAATGGAAACTTTAATACAATAAATCTGTAGAACTTAGAATGAATGAGTAAATCAGATGTTCTTCTGATCTCTCATTGGAAAGGACGTGAAAGTAAATACGAGTTCTTATTTCTGATATTGACATTTTAGGTCAGTACACCACAGGACGGGGATCTTCAGGAGTCGGTCTGACCGCAGCCGTAATGAAGGATCCCATCACAGGCGAGATGACTCTAGAGGGCGGAGCCTTAGTCCTGGCTGATCAGGGCGTGTGTTGTATTGACGAGTTTGATAAGATGATGGAGGCAGACAGAACAGCTATCCACGAGGTCATGGAGCAGCAAACCATCTCCATTGCCAAGGTAACATTTTCTTATCTTTTACAGGTCTTGGAATTCAGCATTCAACAGCACTGTTGATCTGTTTTTTAAGGATATCTGTTTTTCACGTGAGGTCTGTTTGGGTAATGGTTTAGACAACTGAAAGGGTTTAGAACTTTTGCATTGTTAATTTTGTCATTTTAATTTACCAAATTTGCCTTGAGGGAATTGTTTTGAAAAAATAAGGAAAACATTTTGCATAATATAAGAAGTGTATAATACTATTGTGATTAAAGTATTGTGTGAAGGTGGTATAATTTTGCCAAAGTGTCTGATTGTAAAATGACCCAAACTAGTATTAAGCAGTTAGCTTTCTTTAACACTAAGATGTAGTATTAAGTTAAGATGTAGTATTAAGTTAAGATGTAGTATTAAGTTGTAATTGGAGTATTTCATTAATCAAATCTTGATATATATATTATAAAATCACTCATTAGATAACCATCAATTACCTTCTTTATTATTATGAATTTTGTAGGCTGGTATCATGACAAGTCTGAATGCGCGAGTCTCCATTCTGGCTGCTGCTAACCCAGCCTATGGTCGATACAACCCCAAAAAGTCTATAGAACAGAACATCCAGCTGCCCGCGGCTCTGCTGTCTAGGTTTGATTTGCTTTGGCTGATACAAGACAAGGCAGACAGAGAAAATGATCTGAGACTAGTAGGTAGGTAGGCTTTTTTTTTTTTTTTGGAGACAAAATGTCAGAAATAAATTTCGATGATATAGAGGTATTAACTATGTCTCAATTTTCACCTTACTTCCCAGGAAAATTAAAGCATTCTAAATGAATTCAATCTTTTATTGCTCAAATATCAGCCATCACATATGTCCACCAGCATAATGTTCAGCCTCCATCCCAGTTCACTCCCTTGGACATGAAACTGATGAGGTAGAAATTTTTTTTCAATAGATGAATTAATTTTATGAGAGATTTCAGCTGCCTTTATTTTTGATCTTGCATAAATTGAAAAGATTAGGATTTTTTGAAACTTGAGTAAATCACATTTTAATCAGAATGGTCTCTTTGAAACTCAAATGTAACAATTTATAAGTTCACAGAGAACAAGCATATTCACAATATTTTAACCTCTTTGGATTGTGATTTGGGTCATAAATATCTTGCATTTTAATTCACATAGGGAGGATGAAGCTTCAGATACACAAATATTTTCTATTTTGTAGACGGTATATTGCCCTATGTAAGAAGAAGCAGCCAGTGATTCCAGAGAATCTGTCGGATTACATCACTGGAGCTTACGTAGAAATGAGGAAGGAGGCCAGGAACAGTAAGGACACGACATTTACCTCCGCTCGTACTCTGCTGGCTATCCTCCGGCTGTCCACTGCTCTCGCCAGGCTGCGATTGGCTGACGTGGTGGAAAAGGAGGATGTAAATGAGGCCATGAGACTGATGGAAATGTCCAAGGATTCACTCAATCCAGCTCATGAAATGCACAACAGGTAAAATAGATGTCCTATTGTTATACTGTCGAAGCATTTTCTTCCACTTGCTTATTATATCATGTACTGGTCACAATAAGAAATCAGAGGTATTTTCTATCCACAGTTTGAACAGAAATTTTGATTCCATAAAATTTTGACCATTTGTAGCAATGCCCAAGCAAGGGGGAGATAACTTTCCAGATTTCCTCAGCCTCGTTTTGATTCCGTATCAAAAAAGAGCTTAAAAAGTACGGCTTAATACACTACTTTCCCTCGTGTTTTCAAACGTTTTGATGACCTTTCTATGAAGTTTGAGATGCCCCCTAGCATTACCAACCCTGAATGTTTGAAGTATGGCGCGATTAGTCGTTTTAAAAATAGATTGAAAAAATTAAAAATCTCTAATTTTCATATACGGACGAGTACAGTGTCAAAACATGCAAAAATAGCTTCTTCTGATATACCACTACAAATGCATATCACTTACAGGCAAGTATTCAACCGTTCTTGTTCGCCACACGAATTTTCTAAGGCCTACTGGAGCAAATTCGGATTGTAGCAGCCAGCCAACACGTGTGTAGAAAAAATGTACACAACGTGAATTGAACGTCTGATGGTCTGTTTACTTCATTGTCAAGCTGATACAATGTTATATTCTTGTTTTTGAACTATCCTGAAGCATTTTAATAATGAAATTCCGTTCAAAGACTATTTCGTGCGCGAAAACGAAAGTAGGGTTCATCTCAAAGTGAACAAGAATAAATTTCAAGATTGACTTACATTGGTGAAGAAAACAGTGAAAGTCAAATGAAAACTTCATTTATAATCATACTTTGATTTTTATTGCTAAGTTTATTTCTTTAAATGACAACACAGCATACGAATAATGAGACATAAGCTATTCTGTATAAATAAAGAAAACAAAGGAAGACAACTCTTGCATTTCACATTCTGTGTCATATTTTCTTCTGTGTCTCAACAGTGGCACGAGAAAATTATGAAATTTCAGATAAAATTAACAAACTGGTACATAGGTTATATTCTAAAATTGTTTTGATCTAGTATTCCTGCATTATCTGCTTTTAATCTGCTGATGTACACTTTCCAATCATTTTCCTCGGAAAGATGGATAACTCTGCAAGAATTCTGCATTTTTTAAACATTCATTAAAAGCTCAATTTTCACCCGATTTTAGAAATGATTTCTGATATGGAATCAGTGGGTCATACTTTACACAATGGACATAATAAACTAACAATTTTTTGACTCTTTAAAAATCATTGGGCATTGCTACCATTTGGAAAAAAAAATCTTTAACAGTACCTTGATACTGATAATAATGAAAGGAAATATTTACGAAGGATTTTGAAAATGTGCTAACATACTTAACTGAATTGAAGGTATTAACATGATTATGACATTTGTTTTCAGAGCCCACAATGTGACTGATCAGATATTCAGCATTGTCAGGGAAATGGCTCCTTCCAAGGGTCTTCGATCAGTGAAGATTTCAGAGGTGATGGAACAGTGTGTCTCCAAGGGATTCAAACCAGACCAGGTGGACGCGTGTATAGAGGAGTACGAAGAACTGAACGTCTGGCAGACAAACCAGGCACACACCAAGATCACCTTTATCTGAGCCAGGAGTGGCCATATTACACTCAACCTGAGGCCCAGCAATGCCAGAAATTGTTTGTATGAGGAACAAATCTCCCATGGGAGTAGATTAAACTTAATTCCACAAAAACTAAAAATAAAGGAGAATGTGATTTATCGAACAGATTATTTTATGTTTTGTAAGTAATTTTACACAAATGTTTTGACATTGTGTTCAGGTGCCACCAATTATGTGTTCAAAAGCAAGCTCAGAATTAACTGTGTTCATGATAAGGTATATAATGCATGGTTTCAAGCTGACATTTTTATGATGTATATGTATATAATATTTATAGAAATGGAATTAAATAAAGTATTAAGAAATGTGAGGAAAATGTTTTCATTTGATATTACCTATCATTGCTTTGAAACATGTATTAAGAAAAGTACTAGCAAAAGAGAAAATTTTATTCCTGGACTTCTGGTGGGAAAGGGAAACGTCTGGTGAATTCTTGGCATTTGCGACAGCCTTATTGCTGTGTTCAAAAAGATATTTACAGTAAATAAATTTCAATGTTTAAAATGCTGACTTCATGAAATTCTATCATTATACTCGATGAGGTCTTAGTGGCAAAGAATTTTGAAAATCCTCTGAATTTTGGCTAAAGTTGAGAACCCAGAAAATGAGATTAACATTAAATTCAAGTTTTGTGAGATACCTAGACCATGTAGTACTTGTGATATTTTTAGAAATCTATTTCCAAAGCATTGGGAATAACTATTAAACCTAATAGTTAAGAACTCCGAGGCTTGTCAATTTGAAGATGATTGCTAATTATATCGCCTTGCCAATAGTGAAGAGGACAACAGGACCTGGTTGAAAATCATGTATTTGGTAACTGAAAAGCATTGTCCAATAGCTTGGAATTTGTTAATGCTGATTAAGATACAAGACGAACATGTCCAAGGACATATGTACTAAGTCTTCAAAGATAAGAGTACTTGCATTAATTGATAAAGAAGAGATTGTCACATGCCAGCCATGTTGTTTCCAAGTGGTGTTTTTCTGTTAGGTAAGATTCTCTCTCTCTCTCTCTCTCTCATAAACCATTCACCACTGAGTAAATAAAATGTTTTATATATTTTTTGCAGCCCTGACCACTTTGTTTTCCGTCACTGTTATTGGTATGTATAGACATTTCATTCATCACATTACTACTCTTTTCTCTTTACTTGATGACTCTTTAATAAGACAATCATTTCTATTTGATATTAAATTCTCTGTACCATCATATCGGTAATGCAGAGCTTGTCATGAAGAACTGGTGACGAAAACATGTTTATACATTGTGAATATTATTTATTATAATTATGTAATATGCTTTTTTCCCCAACCACTAAACCCGAAAGCCTTGACAACCAAAAAAAAAAAAAGGAAATTGCCCGAACTCGAAAATCCTAAGGGGGGTGGGGGGGTCAACTTCTTTCAGTACCAAATTTTATTCCTAAGATACACACCACTACATTACATTATCCTTATTCGACCCCACTATAACAAAAAGTGGGGGAAGGGGGGGGGGGGGGGGGGTTGCAATGAACGTTCTCAATAGTAAACAGTTATGGTTGGGGACCCTCCCCCTCCGTTGCTGTGTACCTGCTATGGGATCTAATCTAAGAACAATTAACGTTAATCAATTGACTGTACATTTCTACTTTATTCTTAAAACCATGAATAATTTTTCTAAGCCTGTTTTGCATATCTTACTCCAAGGTCTTGGATTAAAGTGTCTACGCTGTGATGACGTACTAGAGCCTCGGTTCTGTGAGAGAATTGAATACTGCTCGACCGGAGATGTAAGTCAAGTTTCTTTTCTTTTTTTAAGGACGGATGATAAAAACAAAAAATGGAATCCTGGAGTAATACGCCAGTTTCGAGATTGTAACTCTCCTACGATAGAGGCACAAAAAGTATCCATTTCGGCAGGGAGGTGGGACAGGTTGTTTCTATATACAAACGTGCATAAATAAATGAACGATATTTATGGCTTTTAAAATTTATTAAAAGTTATAAAAAGATAATGATATTATGCAGTGATGCATTTGATGATTTTATCAAGTACAACTATGCATATTTACACATAATACTTTAAATTATAGGTACAAGTGTACTTTAAAACGAAAGAAACGTCGTAGTCTTAATAAAAAGTTATCTATTTTCTTGATCGTACAAACTATTTTTAATAGAGGTCAAAATTTCTTCCCTCGTCTGAAAAGTCTCACATCCACCGACATTTTCTTTTTTGTTACGATTTCTTTGCTTTACAAAATGACGTCTTTAAATTAATTCAGTTATTTTCGAAATGTAGAATGCATCCTAACAATCATATAGTTATGATAAACTAAATATATCGATGATACAATGTATCCAATATATAAATATCAAATATTAGTCCCACCTGTTTGTTTACGCGGCAACGAAACTCCCCTCCTCAACCGAAAGAGCGCACCAAGGGAGATAATCTCGAAACTTGCGTATTGGTACATATTTTTGGACTTAATATGCCCCCCTTTGAAGAAGGGAGGGCATATTGCTTGCTGCTGTCTGTCGCTTGGTCTATCGGTCCACTTAGTTTCCGTTCATTTTCTTCACAACCGTTGTACATACTGTTCAAAATGGAATTTGGTATACAAATATATCAGATGAATATCTAGGTCAAGTTCTGTTTTGGGTACGATAGGGCCATTTTGATAGAGTTATGCTCCTTGGACTTAGAAAAAATTCAATTATTAGCTGTATCCGTTCATTTTCTTTACAGAGGTTGCAAATACTGAAATGAAATGTAGTATACAGATATATCAGATGAATATCTAGGTCAAATTTGTTTCCGGTACGATCGCGCCATTTTTGACAGAGTTATGCCCCCTTGCACTTAGAAAAATTCCCATTATTAGCAGTTTCCGTTTATTTTCTTCGCCGAGGTAGCACATACTGATTGAAATTTAGTATATAGAATTGCAGATATATCAGATGAATATCTAGGTCAAGTTCTGTTTTGGGTACGATCGCGCCATTTTTGACGGAGTTATGCCCCTTGGACTTATAAAAATTCCAATTATTTGCAGTTTCCGTTCATTTTCTTTACAGAGTTTGCACGTACTGAAATGAAATTTAGTATACAGATTTATCAGATGAATGTCTAGGTCAAGTTCTGTTTTGGGTACGATGGCGCCGCCCTTTTGGGCGTAGAAAAATTCCAATGTGGGGGAGGGGGGCATTAGTGTTTTAAAAAAGTCTCTTGTTTTGATTGTAAATGATGCGAAAAATACATTTCTAAAATATTTTAAAAATTAGTAAACTTTCTATGATGTCCAAAGTTCTACCTTTCTATAACACTCCTTATTATTTGTCACATAAAATCATATTATTGTGAAATTTTAGATAAAAAATTACACATATTAGTTAAATAAACATGAATAAAGTCTTTATTTTCTTTAGTTAACAACTGTTTGACAGGTAAACCAATTTCTCTGGGATATAATGATTTAGTACAATAACATGGACTTATGAAACGAATTTAGATTTTAAAAGTTATTTTTTACTTTTATTCAAAATCTTACTACTAGGTACTGTGAAATCATATCCAATATTGACAAAGATGCCATTTAATTATACATTCATATTTCCATTTCCAATTGTTTTCCCTATATGATAAACACTACAAAAGAGAATCTTGTTAATTTCTCCGTGATTCCTCTGGCATGTAAATTTCTCTATATTGAAATACTGCTGAAAGGTTAAATGTCAACCTATACGTATGGTATTTGACTGGCGTATAAATACACTGAAGAAAAAATAGATGTTTTGTTTAATTGTTTACTACGTAATTAGATATGATATATATTTTTACAAACAAAATAATTACTGAATTATCTCCGGATCAAAAGCAAGTCACCGAGGCCCCGCGAGACCGAGAACTCCGCTTCCGTAAACATGGAAAACAGCCCATCTGAACCACGTGGAGAAATCGGCATCACCAAATAGATCTCCACTTCATCATCTGATACAGACATCGTCCCTCAGTCATTACCATCCAACTTATTAAGCAACTCAACTTCCTCCGTTATTTTAACATCCACACAAATCTGTTTCCTGACCATGCTGACCAACTCCTGTTTCATCAACTGCAACATTGCATTCAATATGGCGGCGGAGAAGTCTCCTAGGGCCTATACACGTGTTGGTGCTTCCGACAACCTAAATCTAGGTCACATATATAATTAAAGTTAACAAGATTGCTTTGGTCATAATTTAAAATTCTCTTGTTGTTTATTCTATAAATGTTGATATTTGGCTACAGCAACTAAATAATCATTAAATTTGGATCGTGTTTTATGGGACTATTTTTTATAGTAAAATTTGAAATAATGGGGCAGGGCTATGGAAAATAACATGGAATGCCTCGTGTATTTCAAATCTACTAAATTAGACGGTATTCCGATTAATTTTTAGCTTGTTATTTATAGGGATATATAAGTAAAAATCAAAGCTATGAAATATATAGAATCATCCTCAGGTAGTGTAGAGGCTATGCCAAATGATGAACGCCTGGGGGAAACATGGGATAATTTAAGCATAACTGCTTCGCCCGTTATGCAAATTAGCCCCTGGGCCTCTTGTTTAAAATCTTACCACTAGGTACTGTGAAATAATATCCAATATTGACAAAGATGCCATTTACTCGTAATTATACATTCCTCATCGCAAAAACAAACAAAAAATATATACATGTATTCAAAATCACAAACCGAACAGTCCTTCAAAATTTATTCTTTTCACAGAATATTAGCTTTCAAAGGCCTTGCTTAATAATTTTGTAGATTTATTTGTTGTTGATGGTTCTCTCTCTCTCTCTTATACTTAAATGTTATGTGTGGTGTCATATTAATTGCCAACATATCCTTTAATATATCTTTTTGGGGGAATCATGTTTGAATAATTTTTTTAATACTAAAATGTTTTGTGTGGTGCCATATAAATTGCAAACATGGATGGACAACAAAAATAACTTTATGTTATTCTTTGACAGGTGTGCAGTGTGCAGAGATACCGTAAAGAAAATGGGGACATCTCCTTTTGGCTCGGATGCCTCTCTACCATAGTAAGTTACAAAATTACATAGAGTGCTCTGAAGGTACAGATTGCTTTCATCATATGTACAGGTTGTGTACAATATAGCTTCAATCTAATTGCTACAGCACCATTTCTTCATTATTCAAACAAGATTTTAAAAATCACACTCACAATAGGATATTATTAAAAATAATCCTTTTTTGTTGTTGTTACTTTTCAGTCATGTGCTAAGACCCCAAATAAAACAGTGCTCCACCCTAACAAAAGAACAATCCATGGATCTATATTATGTAATGATTGTTGCTTTGGGGATCTGTGTAATATAGATGGCTGTGGATCGCCAGGTGATTTTTTTTTTCAAACTTCTATTTTAGCAGGATCATGTACATGTATGTTGATTTTTAAATCCTACCGTATTTATAACTGTGCATTTTATTGTTAAATGTATATGTAACTTTCAAGTAATGGGTTATGTCACTAAAATTTTCCTCTTTGGGACACCGGTCTTGATGGGTTAAAATAAAATAACGTTTTTTACCAGCTTTTTCGACATCACGTGGACCGATCTGTTTTAATTGTGCTCACACTATACACCCAACTGACTGTCACCATGTGACTCTTTGTGGAAACAATGAGGTACGTACATTTGTCACCCGCATATTGAGTTCAATTGATACACAAGAGCATACTCTCCCTGAGAAAAGTTTCTTAAACGATGCAAGCTATTGACAAATAAGTCGTTGAAACATGGATATCAACAGTCTTGTTTCAATTAGACATTTTGCAATGAATACGGTCGATACAATGACCTTATAAGCAAATGCAATCTATCAAAACCCGACAGGCATTTTCATACCATATGTTAAACCATTTACACACTGAATTGTCGCCGGATTTTCCCGTTATTTTCCGATCAGGACAAGGAACACACGGCGGTGTGACCGGTCGGAAGGGAATGCTTCCTTCTCCATGGCACTTCATCCCAACTTAAACTGTTTTTTGTTTTCCAGAATCTATTAGTACATGTATTGCAAATCTCCATAACATTGCAAATCCAAATATTGACTGTTTTTCGTTTTCCATAATCTATTACATGCATTGCAATTTGTCCATAAAATTGCACACATTCTAATACCGGTAAAAGATTTCATTAAACTTTCATAATTTTTGTAAAAAAACGAAGTTTGACAAAACAGATATACATGCCAACAATATTAAATACACAACTAATTGCAGAAATCTAAAGAAAAAGGTTCTTCCATTGAGATGTTGATATCTAATTGCAATTGACTACATTACTTATCAAAATACATATAGTGTATAAACAAGCGTTTACTTGTACTTCTATTAATATTAGTAACGTTTTCTTCTGAAGCGTTGTTTCCTTGGGGAAAAGCCACTATTTGGTCAGCGTTACTTCACTAGCCATTGTGAGGATGTACATGTGAGCTATTAAAATAGATTCATATAAGTAAAATGAATTGAAAGTACCAAAGATTGTATTGATTATGTACATTATAGTGACAGTATGCTGTATTTTCTCCTGTAAATATAACCAGGCCTGTGACAACCATATATCGGCACCGATTATTGTTGGGAAGAAAAGATCAGAGATCCAGCAGCGGTCATACACGCCCTGCTCCGGATGCTGCAGTGGGGACTTGTGCAATAGCAACTGTAGTGCTATCTTTACATCAGGGACTGTCATTAACTCAGGGACAACAAGTAAGAAACTTGTTTCTGATTCATTATATCGAAGCTTATTTAAAGTTTTTTTCTATGCAACAAAAAGGAAATTATTATTTTCATCAAGAGAAACCTGGAGCTTCAGAAATACCCGGAAATTATGCATTCTACGCCCAGCTAACATACACTGTGACAAATGAACATGCCATTTTTAAGAATGTGACGATCAATGAGGGATCCTCTTACAGCAGTTCCACGGGAATCTTTACTTGTAAATACAGTGGTGCTTACGTGTTCTCTTGGACCATTGCAACACATGGTAGTAACAAGGCCTTTGCAGACTTGTATGTTAACGGTAATATCGTGGGAACTGTCATTTCTGACTCATCTGAGCATTCAGTTAATGCAGATTCAGCCACAGGTTTTGTAGTGACTAATCTTCAAGTAGGAGACGAAGTCAGAATCCGGATTTTACAGGGCTCGATAGATGGAGAATTCTCTACCTTTTCTGGATGGCGTCTAAATCACAGTAAATGTTTAAGTTTTTGATCACTTTATTTTGAAGTTATGTAGTTTGCATATAAATTTGTTATTGTATGCAGTTGTCGACTTGCGCAATTGCACTTTTATTATTTTTTGTCACTCTAATAAGAACATTGCTTAATGTATGGAATGCATACATTTATAATGGACTGTAATCAGAAGCTTGCCATTGGTAGTGAACAGAGAACAATGTCACTTTATCTAATATAAAGTTTACACCCACGTGGGGCAATCAAATTCAAACTTTTTTAAATTATTAAAACATAGATCTACTCTTATTCTATTTTACTTTTACAGATGTCTCTTTTTATGCTAAGGCTGACAAACCTTTAACAAAACCCAGTTCTACCCGAAATGGCTTTATTTTCAAAAATGTTATTACCAACAATGGATTGCCGTACGTGGCGGGAAATGGCACCTTTGTTTGCCCAGAGTCAGGACTTTATGCTCTTGCTTTCAACGTTGAGGCTCTTCACAAGGATTATATGGTGTACTTTTACAAGGACACGTCTAAGCTGAATACTCTTGGTGTGTGGCCAGACTCCTCCAGTGGCAGCTATAGGGACTCGTCCACCACCCTACAGCTGTTTCAGCTACATGCTGGGGATGCCGTCCACCTTTTCAGTGGAGATAGTGATGCCATATTAGAGTCTCCAAGGTCGTCTTATTTAGGATGGCTCATTCAGCCGGGATGTAAGCATTGTCAAAATCCTATTATAGTATATTACAAATATGTTATGTTATAAATATAGAGCACTCTTTGTTTGAAATCCAATTCTTTAATGTCTTTAACGGTTACTAGATGTCAGATTGGTATGCAATCTATACAATACATTTGTATTTTAATTACAAAGTCATAGCTTTAAAACAAAGTCAATACTTTTTTTCCAATTGCATGTTTGCAGCCTCCTTGAATACCCCGGCCTTTATGGAACAACTAACTTCTACATCTCCCTCGTCATACAGCGCAGTGTTGTTCAGTAGGGAACTTCTCGATACAACAGGATCATTCTATCGCACCACCGGATACACCGCTCCTAAAGATGGCGTCTACGTTATATTTTGGAATATGGAAGCATATGAAAATTATTTGAAGTCTACGCTAGTCGTGAATGGGCTGGCGTATGGATACACCGTGTCTGATGGCCGATCTTCTGATTATGACAGCGGTTCTAACGTTGCTGTTCTGCGGTTGCGTGCAAGAGACGTTGTGAAAGTGATGCAGTCAACATCTGCAGATGGCGATCAAACAATGATATCCGGATTCATGTTGTATTAAAATATTAATAATCTCTAAATTCTAGTACGCCAGACTTTATATTCACTGCTTCTTGATTATATTGATTACATATTATGGATCAAATTCTATAGGTAGCAGAAAACGGAAAATAGGCTTACGATTTCCATGAAAGTAATTATTTGGAAACGTTTTTCCTGAAGTCTTAGAATGTATTTGAATCCTTAATCGTAATGAGAGCAGTTAAACTCGAAGCTTTGTTTTTACTCAAAGGTTTAACTTGCACGAAGGTCACATTTTAGCCGATGGCCGGGTTACAAAAATTTTCTAGCATCTGCTGAAAGAACATGATCGGTCCACACTAGCATGGCTTGTATCGGACGACACGATGCATTAACATCAATTCATAGGAATACTGATTACTGTAAACCCTCTTGCTGATATTCCAGTACACATATTGGGCAGACAGTAAGTTATTGATGTGATTGAAAGTATGTTAATGATATGATTTATAAAACAAGCCACTTGTCTTAACTGGAGGCTTTTGACGTCCTGTCGATCCATAGTGCTATGCCACTACTCTCTCTCTCTCTCTTTCTCTCTCTCTCTCTCGTTACCCCCAATGAATCGAGTTGTGTTTCTATAGTCTCTTTCCACAGCTTGGTAGGTTTTGTTAAACTTGTCCAATAAAGAGGCAGGATTAAACTAGACTCTAATAGCTGAGTTCAACACCTTAAATATTTTCGGAAACCTGCAATATTCCAATACTACGAGGGTTGTTCGAAAAGTTCGTGGACGGGTTCGGTACTGACGGCTGTATTTGTATGTTTGAAGTGAAACTTTATATACTTTTATTATACCATGTTTCCAGTAAAAGTACAACTTTTCAATTTTGGGGTCCATTGAATAAAAATTTTGAAGCCGTTCTAATTTCTTTAGGAAGGGGTCGCGGAGCATCCTCGTTTTCTACGTATATGAATATTTTAAGTCGATATCGTCATTACCTGCGCACAAAATCTATGATATTAAATATGAAGTCACAATAACATGCACTCGTCATATTTGAGAAGTTTCAGTTATTTAAAGCAAGTGGTTCTCAGCTTACCGATTCATAATGAAAGGGGACGGTCTCGATTCACCGTTGAAAACGGCGCAAGAATTGGACGCCACAGAGCAGTGCGCTGTGATGTAATTTTGTATGGTAGCTGGAAAGACTCCTTTTGAGACAAAACAATATAGCTAGATGAACTTGGGGATAGGTCAAAAGTATCAAGATGAATGGTGTACAAGTTGTATAAACAAATTAAAGAAGGTCGATGTGATTAAACTTGACGAAAAGTCAGAAATCCACCTATTGATTCTTTGCGTCAATGAAAACAAAGATAGAAGAAAGTAAAGATAAATCGGATAAATTTGAAATAAGTACGTCTTCGTATGAAATAATCACAAAATTCTTGGATTTGAAAACTGCTGTTTTATTTATGAAGATTAATAAAACATAGCGACGTAACGACGTCAGAAAAATTACGCCACAGTTGCTCCGCGGGCATTGACAATGTATCATAAAAATTGGTATAACTATAATAAATATAAGTAAAACTGACTGAAATTTTGCATATTATTTCAAAATATATTATCATTTAATGTAATATACAAAATTTTTCGAATTGCAACAAATCGGCGGAGAAAATTACACCGTCCACGAACTTTTCGAACAACCCTCGTATAAGGCTGTTTTATTTGTTTTCTTAGTCCTAAAATCGTAGGATATCTTACCAGGACGTAATGAAAACAAAGAAACGTTATAACACATGGTGAACCACCAGTGTTGCAACCACTATTGAAATATGACCACTATTGAAATGAGAGTACATTTCAATAACAAACACAGGTACTAACCACTATTGAAATACGACCACTATTGAAACTAGAGGTACTGTGAGCAATGAGCTCACTAAATGATACCCCCTGCCTCCCATATGAATAAAATGGCAGTGTCCATGTTTTGCTCTGGAAAATCCAAAATATATGTCAGATCAAAAAGTAAAATAGGAGGTGCACAATGGCAATATGTAATAAAGATTCTGTGAAAGTTTCATCAAATTTCATTCAGTGGTATGAGAGGAGTTGCGGATAAGAGATGGGTACCACAAAGTGTAACAGACGGACGGACGGACAGACGGACGGAATTAACGATTTCTATATACCCTCCCGCTTTTCAAGCGGGGGGGGGGGGGTATAATAATTTTTTCAATAGTGGTTGAGAGTAATTTTTTCAACTATTGAAATAATTAGTGGTTGAGAGTACATTTCAATAACAAACACAGGTACTAACCACTATTGAAATACGACCACTATTGAAATATTTTTTCAATAGTGGTTGAGAGTACATTTCAATAACAAACACAGATACTAACCACTATTGAAATACGACCACTATTGAAATAATTATTTCAATAGTAGTTGAGAGTACATTTCAATAACAAACACAGGTACTAACCACTTTTGAAATAACACCACTATTGAAATGATTTTTTCAATAGTGGTTGAGAGTACATTTCAATAATAAACACAGGTACTAACCACTATTGAAATACGACCACTATTGAAATAATTATTTCAATAGTGGTTAAGAGTGCATTTCAATAACAAACATTGTTACTAACCACTATTGAAATACGACCACTATTGAAATAATTATTTCAATAGTAGTTGAGAGTACATTTCAATAACAAACACAGATACTAACCACTATTGAAATAACACCACTATTGAAATGATTTTTTCAATAGTGGTTGAGAGTACATTTCAATAATAAACACAGGTACTAACCACTATTGAAATACGACCACTATTGAAATAATTATTTCAATAGTGGTTAAGAGTGCATTTCAATAACAAACATTGTTACTAACCACTACTGAAATACGACCACTATTGAAATAATTATTTCATTAGTGATTTTATGAACTTAAGAGGTGCTGTATTTCACTGTAACAAACATGCTTTTAAAGAAATTTTTACTAACCACGTATGAATATATGAAATACGACCACAATTGAAATAATTTTTTTCAATAGTGTTGTTGAAAATCTATTTTTAGTATTTGCATTTCAATAACAAACAAGTGTGTGAAGTAACCACTATTGAAGCCCATTACCACAATTGAAAGAATTATTTATTTATAGTGGGACATATAATATTCAATCCTTGTCCTGAAATTGATTAATTGAGTCGATTTTTTTGTAATTTTGTCAATTTCTCCAAAATATTCTGTGCAGTAAGTTAATTGGGTGTATTTTAAGCATTTAATCCCTTGTTTTTGCTTAAGAATAGATATTTCTTCTATTAAAGCAGTTTTAATAGTTAGATCAAATCATTTGAAGGGCGCCATTTTTATGACTTTTAAGCCTGTGTTTTATGTTTTGGCTTGTGTGTTTTTTGCGAATAGGTAGGTAGGTTTTTGAAAGATGGGTGGACGCTAAACAGAGAAAAAACTTGGAATGGCCTAAATAATAAATGTACATGTATGTAATTTTTTATATTGAACTGTGTTTGGGGCTAGAGTTTAAAAAAAAGACAACAATACGAATGACTTTTATTGCTGCAGAAATGAACCGATTCTTCACAGATGTATACTAGTATTTAAATAAAAGTAATTTAAATATTGTTTTTAGATGAGTTCTTGCGTTTTTTTTATTTGTCATACCTGTTATTAAACATTCATAAAAGCACCCATTTTCTTGTGAAATTAAGTACGTGTCTTCACCGGCTACAAAACTTTTGTGATGCATTTGAATAAACTGATCATAGCTTGGTTTTCTTTTCTAACTTGATTGGATGATTGATTTAAGATGAAGTTTATAAATATACTCACTGTCAATAGAAACGCAACACCCTAATTTTAGGGTGAAAATTATATACGAGATATAACTATGTACCCAAAAAGTTAGGACATCTTTTACTTTGCCAAATCAATTATTTAACGGTTGAATGATTTTCATTCCATTACCGAAAGTTGCTTTTTAGCCCTCTTAACAGATAACTTAAAACTTTTTCCTTCCGACTATTTAATCAAAACGTGCTAGTCCGCCATGTACAACATACACAGCCGGATCTCTACTATGCATTAGGTTTATTAATGTCTTTATCTGAGCGAAATAAATATTCTTGGGCATTTTTAAATGCCTGTTTTTCAGATACGGAGGTCGAATTATCTCTAACTTGGCGTAGTGTAGTAACCCTAAGACTTCCGGTCAAGGAACTGTCATTCAACATGCTCTTGAAACACATGAGCCCGAAAAGTCGTTATGTAGTGTATATTTGCATCTGTAGCTCTCCTTTTTCTTTATTTTGAGAATTTCCAACATTAGCCATGAAAATCCGTGCTTTCAGTCATTTTGAGGAAATACAGGCATCACATCCGGAAAAGAAAGAAGGATATTTTTCCGGGATTTTAGAACAATGCTTATGATTAACAGGTACAAAACCTTAAAAACCCATTTATTGTCAATAATTTTATTTAAAATGCTAATTTTTGGTTTCTGTTAAGAGGGCTAAAATCAACTTCCGGTAATGGAATGGCGGTGAGCCTGCCGAGCATTTGAAGACATAAATATTTTTATTTTATACATGGAGATTTCTACATGGATATTTTTATTTTCTACATGGAGATTTCTAGGGCATTTATAAGCCATTTTTTTCTTTCTCGTCTATAGATGCTTATTTTTGTTCCGTGATCGCCCGTCTGTTTGTCTGTATGTCTATTTAAATCTCAGAACTCACTATGCTTGAATAGAAATGGCATCAAAGTATCAAAGATTTGTTTATTTTCATTATGATTCATTTTCTTAAGAAAAAAATCACATCTTAAATTTACTCTTTAGTCGAGATATCACAGTACTGGAGGGTGATTGTAAACGAAGATTTCATAGATATTCATCACAAAACTAATTTGAGTATTTTGCTCGCGACAAGTAATAATTAATATACATAAAAAGATAAAAACAAATTGCATTTCATTTGTTATTTTATGCAAGTTTATTATCAAAGATCAATTATAAAGAAAAATAAAGGTTAGGATAATTTCCTGTCTTTTTTCACACATTTATTTTTTTTTATTCGGGACACAGTTTAAATTCTGTTTCGTATATTCATTGTGAAAAACTCTTTCATTGAGTGAAAACTTTTTGACCTTGACCTTAGTGTTTGACCTACCTTTCATTTCAAAAACGTTAACCTTGACTATTATTTTTATTCCTTTAGAGCTTGGGCTCTCAAATTTCACTTGTATTTCTTGTGACAAGACCTTCATTTGAAAACAAACAATTTTGACCTTGACCTTAGAGTTTGACCCACTTAAAAAATAAACCTTGACCATAATCTTTGAGCCATTAGTACCTGGGTTTTCGTTTTTCACAGGTTTGTCACTTGTGGGAAAACATACTCCTTTGAGTACCAACAATTTTGAAATTTTGGCCTTGACCTTAGAGTGAAAACTGCATTTGTGAAATTTCGATCCTCGCGAAAGGCTGTCAAATGGGGCATCAGTGTATCACATACACATCTTGTTAGTTATTTTTTGTATATTAATAATAAATGTACGTTATTGTCTTTATATTGAACTGTGTTTGGAGCTAGAGTTAAAAAAAAAAGGACAACAATACGAATGATTTTTTTGCTGCAGAAATTCTTTTAATAAATAATTACCTGTCATTAAATTTTCATAAAAACATCCATTTTCTTTGTTAAGTGAACTAAAGTACGCTTCTACACCTACTACACAACTTTTGTGATGCATTAAAATAAACTGATCGTAGCTAGGGTTTTCTTTTCTAACCTGATTGGATGATTGATTTTAAGATGAAGTCTATGGGTTTAAAACATTTATAATAAAATTCAAGTATTTTATAGATTGAAGGCAAAGAGATTCAAAAGGAGACCAGAAAATCATGAAACTTGGCGCTGCACGTTATTTACTGCTCTTTATTTGTAAGTACACTTTGTAAGTCATTAAACTCTTCTCATTAAAAGAAATAAAGGTTGTTCTATGCAATTAATTAAAAATATCATTGAGATAATAAATACTGTTAATTAACAGAGAGATGTTTTTATGGGGAAGGTTTTACGTTGACTTTTACATGTACATGTATAATAATTTTGCAAATGTATATATAACGATGGTACAATTTCAAAGAGTAAAAAGTTGATTTTTTTTCGAAAGTATAATAAAAATGTATTTTTCTTATGTTTGTTGAAATGTTTTAAAATATTTTATTTTGAGTACTACCTGGAGATTCCTAGGGCATTTATTAGTCATTTTTTCCTTTCTGGTTTATGGATGCTTATTTTTGTTCCCCAAAGGCGGAAGTTCTGTGACCGTCCGTCTGTCTGTATGGCCATCAAAATGTCAAACTCTCCATACTTGAATAGATATGTCATCAAAGTATCAAATATGTGTTTATATTCATTATGATTCATTTTCTTAAGGAAATAAATCACATCAGATCTTCACTCTTTATTCGAGATATTGCATTACTGGAGGGTGATTGTAAATGAAGATTTCATTGATATTCATCACAAAACTAACTTAGAGTATTTTGCTCGCGTCAAGTACTAACTTATATACATAAAAAGATGTATACAATTTACAATTCATTTGTCATTTTATGCAAGTTAATCATTAAAGATAAATTTTAATGAAAAATAAAGTTGGAGAGTTTCCTGTCTTTTTTCACACATTAATTTTTTTTAATTAAGGACACAATTTAGACCCTATTTCGTTATAAGTCTATCATGATATGAAACTTTTTGGGGAAAAAGTTTATAACCTCTTATTAGATTTTTTTTAAGTGTTTGCCAAATAGATAAAGCCTTTTATCAACTTTTTTGTACTATTGTATTTAACAACATGCACAATGTTTATTAACTTTTGAGTTGAGACTATTGTAATCAATTTTTTTTTGTCATTTAATATTGCGATATATTGCTTTATGAAGTTAGATGTATATGTACTTGGTTTACCTCTATTGCACTGCTTTTATAAATACAATGAACATGTTCATACATAATCATTAACCAAGAAATATTTTCGAAACCTACTCACATTTCTTACCATATATTACCTGTTGTTTATACAAAATATTATTTTTAAAATCTATTTTGATTACCATAAAATATTTACATCCACGAAAATTTTTATTATTTAAGAATACCATTGCTGTTTACCAGTTCGTAAACAACACACGAAGCATGACACGAGTAAACATTTTTTTTGATCAGTGGTTCGTCTATTTTCAGTGAAACTAACAGTGACGCAAAAATCAGTAATAAAATGTTTAATTTCATTAATTCAGCTTTAAATGATAGTTCAAACAGATATAAACAATGAAATGTCTTTCTTTGTGTGTTAATATGGAAACTAACGCACAGCTATTGCAGAAAAAAAACACGATGTATTGTGAAACACTATGCGCCCGGTGGCAACAAAGTTCGAGAAAGTTATTTTTAGCATAAAGGCCAAAGTCAAAATACAAGGTCATTGACCTTGGTGTCATTTGAAAGAACTAAATTAGTAGAGTATGCATACTAAATGTGAAGTCTCTATCTCCTATGGTACAAAAGTTATGGTGAAAATTCGAAAAAGCTATTTTTAGCATATAGTTCACAGTCAATGTCACAAGGTCATTGACCTTGATGTCATTTGAAGGAGCTTAATTAGTTAATTATGCATACCAGTATGAAGTCTTTATCTCTCACAGTTTAAAAGTTATAGCGAAGGTCAAAGTTGACAACAGACAGACAAACAGACAGACAGGACAAAAATAATATACACCACGGATCTATCACAGAGCAAAATTAACATTTTTTAATTAAAATAAATTTTTAATATTTTATACAAAATTCGGACGTTTATCTGTGAAATTCTTTATCTGTTTTTAATATGTGCTTATTTGTAGTAAATTGTGTCTTATTTATCTCATTCCCTTTGAAATAGGATTAAGACATTCCAATTGACACTCTGTGACTCTCTCAAAATAAATGTTGCTCGTTAGGTGTTACGGTACCTAATGCCTCCGGATTGATTAATCCTTTATCAGTAACTTTATTTGTACAATTTCTTTTAATAACCTCTGTCATGTCCATTTTATCAAAGAAACACACCTGTCCATCAATTAACTCAACTAGTGTCAAAAGTCAATTATTGTTTACTCTTGTAGTATCTGCATTTCAAAATTATAAATCATTTTCTATTTCCCGCACTTTTATCATGTGATGCTAAGCGTAGGAATATTTTGTAAGTGATGACCATGCAGTCTCCATTAAACAGTGAACTATAAACCACGTGTTATTCTTACAACATCCTTTACACAAGGATATAATAACTCTTAATCTTATATCTATGTCCATTATAATCCCTTCAGTTTGGAGGCCCAACGCTCTACCGGCCACATCCAACTCGATTAAGTCTCGTATGCTATTGTTAAAATTCATGTTTGTTATTCACCATCGTCTTTAATAAATTCGGAAACCTGATTTACCAATTGTTGGACCTTATATTGGAAGACCATAAGGAATACGGCACCTTAACCCTGTACGTTTTATTACGGCCCCACAGCGCCACTACTTTGTTATACCCGCCAACATTCCTTCTTCCCCGTTTACGCAAAACAACGGATTTAGTCCAGGAATTACTTTACAACTTATGACCACAGGTGCTTGAGGACAACTATACCCCCGGGCCTGTTAGACTTTTTTCACATAAATTATATATGAATGACACATTTGTGATATAATATATCCTATCCATTTAGAAAATTTGCTTAAATAAACATTTTATAAAAATTTCTACCCCACTCTCTATATATAAATTAACAAGGTTGCCAACTTCGTCTGCAAACCGAGATTTATATATATACCGAAATACACAGTTCTGCAGAAAGTCTGAAACACTGTTTTGAAATAAACATTTGAAGAAATTTGGTTGAATTACATTTTAAAAAATGTCTTTCAAATGTATTGAAAGAATAGAGTTCTAAACTGTAAATGAAATATTTCTAATTATTTTTAAATACCTGATTGGCATGTATCGGTTTTGAGAGTTATGCCTTTTTAAAATATATTTTATTAAAATACCTTCTTTTCCGTAAATATTTCGTGTAAAATCGACAAAACATTTGAAAATAATATCTTTATGAAGAATTCGTTCAAAAAACAAGAATATATCTATTGTTGATATCTTACACACATGTTTGGTTATATGGGGAATATGGGAAATTAGTCCTCTCCTCATCACTTCCGTTCGATAAGCTTTTTACGGAGTTGGCAACCTTGTTGATTTTTATATACAATGTAGGGTAGATTTTATAGAACATTTGTTTTAGGTAATTCTTCGATTTGTTGGTATAGATCTTATCACAAATATGTCAATGAAAGATTATTTATGAGAAAAAAATCGAAAAAGCCCAGGGGTCTATTTCGAAGGGGGGGGGGGGGGGTCCTGTCCTCAAGCACCTGTGCTTATGACCGAAAATCTAACTGGTTATAGATCTATGGATTCGGGCGCATAATTACATCACCCGCGAATGTTGATAAGAGTAAGTGAAAACGTCACCGACACGGTTGGTTTGAAACTGTTTCATTTTTCTAGATAACACGGATAAAATGCTCTGTGGTGGAAAATTGCCTTTTTCTTCATTTCGGCAATTTAAATACTAGACCCAATGGAATAAAAAGTGACTAATCTGCAATAACTCACACAAAACGTTAAGCATTCCTTAATTATTTATAAAACTATGTTGCCTGGCTTATGTAAAAAATTAAACATTTTAGTTGACAAATCTGCAAACAGAGTACAACATACGCGCAACATAAATCAATAATCAGATATCAGAATCCCTTTGATTGTTGGTGATAAGGGTTATTATTTTTCAATTTTTAGGATTTCTTAAACAAAAACATAATATATAGCTCTTTTAGATAAACACAATTGCAATTGTATTTGTTTTGCTGACGTGAGACATCATTTTTGCCAAGGAGATCTACAGACCTTTATTCTTTATTTAATGTGATTGGAGAAGTGATTTGAAACTGTCTTTTTGTTTCCTTTCTAATCAATTAGTATTGCAATGTTATAATAGAATTTTAATGAAGGACCAGTGAACAGTAATAAGCCTACTTTTTATTGAATTAATCGACTTAAAGAATACTCGAAAGGTTTTAAGAAAGTATGGTCGAGACAAACAGACAGCAGTACAAATCAAACTGGGAATAGAACGGAATATCTAATCTTGGTTTAAGAAGTGTCCTATTCACTTTTTGTAAGTAAAGAACCGGTATTGTAGAGTAGGGTTTCCCCCATTGCCAGCTTTCCCCCCGGAAATCGTACTCTAGAGTAGGATTTCCCCTCGAGTAGGATTTCCCCCCGAGGGGAAATCTCACACCAGAGCCAAATTTTCCCCTCTTTTCTTCTCACAGTAGAACACCCCCCACCCTTGTTATAGAGTCAATATCAACCACAGCCGCGATATTTTTGTTAAAAAAAAAAAGATAAATGACAAACTGATTTTAAAAAGGTAAATGAGTGGGGGTTTTTTACCTATGTTATAAGAATTTTCTTAGCATATATTTTGAATCATGGAATCTCAACCAAAATATATAGATTTCAAAAGAAATGTAAATATTCTCAAAACATGATGAAATAAAAAAAAATGGATGTCTGGATTAGTATATATTCTGGACCTATTTTGGTTGTAAATGATTATATAAATAACTTTTCTTAAATATTAAGAAATTGTAAACTTACTATGATGTTCAAATTTCCACCTTTCTGTACATGTAACCATCCTTATTAATCTATACATTTTTATGTATGTTTTTCAGAAAAAAAATCATGTTTATTTTTCGTATACGTATGTTCAATACATCCGGTCATCATTTTGAAGAAGGGACACTTGTAGCGATGTGCCAGCCGTTCCTCCTAGAAAATAAGA